AACTCTGGGTTTTCACAGTAGGAACTCTGAGCCTGGTACATGGACCCAAGTAGACAATGGGATACATTTAAGTAGCCCAGGCCCCCCAGCGGTTTTGGAGTATCTGGGCTGTGCAAGAGCAGACGGGACCCAATGCTTATAACAATGAGAAAATCCTCAAAAGTAATAAACTGCTAACTTAGCTCAGGCTCTTATTCTGTGCTAAATGGTTTTCTCAGTCATCATATCGTTGTAATAAATCTCACCCAAATTTAGTGGTTTAAAACAATAATATTTCTGTTGTTTGTAATTCTACAAGTCAGCAATCAGGGCTGTGCTCAGCTGGGCGGTTCTTTGGCTAGTTTTACTTATGGTTACTCATGTGACTGCAGGTCCTGGCAGCTTGACTGGTACTGGACAGTCCAAACTGTTCCCTCTCACATACTGGCTGTCGGCTGAAATGCAGGGATGGCAGAGACTCTCTCTCTATGTGATCTCCCATCCTCCATGAGTTACATGGAATTTCTTCATGTGGTGGACTGAGAGTCCCAAGAGGGCAAGAGGGGGAGTTGCAAGCCTTTCTGAGGCCTAATGTTGGAATTCCCACAACTTCATTTTCACAAAACCATTTCATAGCATTTTATGGTCAAAGCAAATCACAAGATCAGCTCACATAAAGGGGGAGAGAAATAGACCCACTTCTCCATGGAAGCTTCTGGGAAACCACATTGTGAGGGGATGTGCATGCAGATACGGGAGAGGTTTGCAACCACTAATAAAGCAATGATTTATTATTTTATTTAACACTATAAACAACAGTATAAGAGAAAATTATCTATGATCACTTCTTTACCAAGTGTTAATCTAAATTCATCTGCCAGCTTCATTTTGAACCAACATTTACATGGTGGGCCGTTCAGGGTGGGGCCAGGGAGAATGTAACATTCCAAAATGTAGCAGCAGCTGGCATAGAACTGATAGTACTGAGCATTTGCACATGGGCAATTATAAAATTTCTGTAGAGCTAAGAGTGCTGTTTCTATGTCTCCAGGATGTCTATGAAAATGTTTAAGATACAGAAAGTGAGATTACTTGGCCCACACACAGTCTTCCCGATAAATCTGGAGGCTCTCTTGGGTCAGTTTGTTTCTTGAGACTGAATAGCTGGGTCACCATCTTAACTACAGGCATCATGGATATTAAGAGTTATGGGATCTCAGAGGAAGCCCAGGGGAGTGAAGAAACTGGTAGAGAAAGGTTTGAAGACAGAACATTTTCAACTGAAAAACTGATAGAAATCAAGACTGTCCACTTTTCACAGAGTTAACAAATTAGAAATAGGATTATTTTCACTCATTTTTACAGATACCTGAACTCTGGCTCTGAGCCTCTGACAGGCTCTTTCTTACTTAATTGAATACTGTGAACTGTCTTAGCATCTGTCAAACAGTAGTTGCCAAAGTGTTGGAAGATGGCAGCACCAAAAACAGTGGGGTGGTGTTTGTTACACACAAACTTGAGCAGAGAAGTTGAAGACAAGTCACGAGCAGACTCTGACTACCATGTAAATCACAACAGCTCGTCTTCTGAGCTGGATCCTCAGCTGAGGCTGGGCTGTTCCCAGGAAGAGAGACCCGGAATCGGAAGGCCAGCGCCTCCTCTGGAGTTCTGGTCCTTGAGCTCCAGCATGCACACGTCCTCTTTCTCAGGGACGGTTGGTTCAAAGACGCCCAGAAGCATTAAGTGAATTAAGTAAAATTGATTGAACATTGTCTCTTAAAAATATATAGTAATAAGGAATGATGAGTAATATGTACAAATTTTAGACTAGTTTCAATCTTATGGCAAGGTCTTCCTTTAGCACTATTATTGTGAAAAACAGTGTTAAATAAAAATAAAACAATACAAAACTATATAGATATTATATAGTATATAGGTGTGTCTGTGTGGATATGTTTAGTTACAGTCATACCACCTCCAAAAAACTCCATTGAAAACATTCATAAAGCCCTGGCTGGTTTGGCTCAGCGGTTAGAGCTTCGGCCCGTGGACCAGGGAACCCGGGGTTTGATTCCTGCTAAGGGCGTGTACCTCAGTTGCAGTTCATCCCTGGCCCTGGTTGGGGTCATGTGAGTGGCAACTAATTGATGTGTCTCTCTCATGTCAATGTTTCTCTCTCTCTCTTCCTCCCTCTCTCCCTCCCGATCTATCTGAAGATGAATACAAAAATATCCTTGGGTGAGGATAAAAAAAATGTTCATAAAGAAAAGTGTTAGATAAAGTACAACAAATGTAAACAATAGACTTCTGAGTGTGACTAGAAAATTTTCAAGTAATTATCTTGTTGTTTTCCTATATTTCCTTAATCCTGTGTTGCAACCATACATTTGAGACAGAGAATTTTTTCTTTTTGCTGAAGGAAATATTAGCTCTCTGAATGCTGAGGGTGACAATGAGTTTTAACATCATTAGGTTAATGAGCAGTGAGTGACTGGGTGGGAACGGGAGTGGGTGCGTGGGGAGTGGGCACAGGGAGCAGAGGCGTGGAGGTGCAGGGCAGTGGAACAGCTGTGATGGAAAGTCCCAAGGAGTCCAGAAGCTAGGACCAGGCCCTGGCTTCCCCAGGAGGAACACACACCCCTCAGGAGAAACCTGGGCTGCAGCTAGGGACAGACACCTCGCCTTCCCACACAGTCATTTTAGCTTCCTGCTTTGTGGAACAGCGTGATTTCTTTCATTCAAATGCTTTCAAGTAACAGTCTGAATTTAGAGAAATCATGGGAATCTAAACGAAAAATCAAGATATGGATGACTTTGACCCTCAGTCCAGGGAGCATCTCTGTTATGATGGGAACATTGCTTCAAGTATGAGGATCCCTTGATTCCTGCTTTTAATCCCTTTTGTGGAAGCCACACATCAGAAAGTGCCATTGTGTCCAGATATTAAGACCTTGATGAGGTATTTTACAAGTCCACGCCCCTGAAAGCACACTCACTCACATCTTCCCACGTCACAGCCTGGGCAGCAGTGGGATGTGCCCGCCGGCCGGTGCCTGTGCTCGCGCACCGAGGCTGCGAGTTTGAGTCTAACCCAGGGAACAGGGAACATCCGTTCGTGCTCTCCAGGCCGTGCACCTTCGCAAGAGAGCGAGGAGCAGACACACCCCTCACACCCCTCAGACACAGGGGCACACCTCCACCAGTGCACCATCCAAGTCCAGGTTTCATAGAAGTTTGTTTTAATTTTAATTTTTTTTTTTATTCTTTGCAGATAGAGTGGGAGGGAGACAGAGAGAGAGAATCGACGTGAAAGGGACACATCGAGTAGCTGCAACCGAGGTACGTGGCCTTAGCGGAACCGAACCCGGGTCTCTCTGGACGGCAGTACTGACGCTCTAACCGCTGAGCCAAACGCGGCCAGGGCCAGGTTTCGTGGAAGTTTTAACAGTTGCAGGTGCTCTGCTCATTTGTGACAGTGGCTATTAGTGCCCCACGCATTCCCTCATTGCCAACCAGATGATGGATTAGTCAGCTTCAAAAATCTCATAGCGCTGGCCGGTGTGGCGCAGTGGCTGAGCGCGTCCCACGCATCAAAGGGTCACCGGTTGGATTCCTGGTCAGGGCGCACGCCTGGGTTGCAGGCTGGGTCCCCAGTGAGGGGTGTGCAGGAGGCAGCCGATCAATGTTTCGCTCTCTCCCTCTCCTTTTCTTTCACTCTAAAAATCAATAAAAAATATATATTTAAAAACATAATCTCGCCCTGGCCAGTTGGGCTCAGCAGTTGGAGCGTTGGCCTGCGGACAAGAGAGGCCCCAGGTTCGGTTCCTGCTAGGGGCATGTACAAAAAAAAAAAGCAAAAAAAAAAAAAAACCCACAAAAAACCATAATCTCATTTTAGCGTCTACTTTTAGGTTCTCTGGAAAGACTGAGAGAGAGACTTCCATTCAGAAAGTTCCCTGGGCATCACCTGGGGTTCAGCACCTGCGGCGAAGGGAGAAGCTGACTGTGGTGCAAGTGCAACAAGGCATCAACCTGCCCCGTGGTTGCCGCATCCGGGAGTTGTCCTAGGTGAGAAGGTAGTGCTGGCCTTTACACGCCTCACTGTTTGGCAGCTGGATGCAGGCTGCTCCTGGAACAGGGACCTGACTTTACCTAAGGCAATTCCCAAAGACAGATGGCAACTGGGCGTCATCAGGTGGCAACCATCCAGGGATCTGGAGAGTAAATCTTTCTGTGAAGGGTTCAGGTCATTTGAGCAACACAGCATTTGTAACAGAGTGAGAAAGAGGAGAAAGATAACTTAGGATTTTAAAACCAACACAGCGACCCCAGATGCAGCAGAAAACATTTTATTTGAGATAGTGGCAGGGTTGGTTCTGAAGAGGAGGGATCAAAGTGTGTCTGGCCCGGGTGTCCTTGCCTGAATGAACTAAAGATCAGACAATAAGGAATTGTGGTAGGGTCCAAATTAGAGCCATGCTTTGGGTCTCCCTTCGTATGGGTGATCTCCAGCTCCCCCTCTTAAGGCCCCTACAGGAGAATGACAGGTCAGTTGGGGAGTGGAGTATCATGAATGAAGATTGATCAACAGTTGGAAACTGACAATACATGTTTCACCAGGAGAGGACAAGTGTTAGGAAGGGGAACCTAGACTGCATGGCTCCAACCTCCAAGGCTATTTCTGCACCTTCAGGGTAGAGAGAGGGAGTCAGAATGTCTAAATTGTCTTCTTCAGGATACTGTGGGCAACTGAACCTTTCTCATGGAATGACGGTTTTCCTTTGGTGGATATGAATTTTTAAGTTTGTAACAGAGATCTGAGGATGTAAGGTTTTCATTTTTTGTTTCTCAGCCACATACTTTTGCAAGGAGCAAAAGCAGAATACAAAGCAATTTAGCAGAGAGAGAAATTTAACAACAAGAGGCGACTGAGCCCAGGACACCATTTAAAAAGACAGGCGGACTCTTCGAGCAGGTCTCAGGTGAGAAGCAGAACAGCTCCTGCCCCGAACGTGGCGCTCCTAATTAGCCTTGAACCGCTTCAAGTACGTCAGGATGTCCGACTTGACTGTACTGACTGGAGCCCGATGGGACCAGCGCATGACAGGGACTCCATCAGGCCCCACCAGGAACTTTTCAAAATTCCAGCGAATGTCCTGGACCTTTATTGGGTCCCAGGAGATTTGTCTGAAAGACCCCAAAAGCTCAGAGGGGTGAGGACAGGAGTTCTGGAAAAGAGAATGACATCATCACATCCCCTTCCGAATGACCCCGGCTCTTTTCACCCACAGGGCGCACCCTCCCCGCCTGCACCTAGACCTTTCAATTTTTTGTGATTCCTCGTACATTCTGTGGATCGCCACCATACCCACTGCCAAGAATGTTTTAGATGTCACAGCAAGTGTGTTCCATCTTAATGTCTCTCCCGGCCTCACCGCAGAATCACCTGCTGTGGAAAGCTATGTGACCACTCTGGACTTTTTCTGCTGGTGGCTTAGATTACAATGTGGTTTCTCAGGTCTTAGGCATTTAAAAAATATCTTTTGAGACTAACATAGAGTTACTAGCATTTTGTTTTATCAAATAAGAAATTAAAAAACAATAATCATGTCGTCATTTGATTTAATAAAAAAGATTCTTTTAAAAATAAATTGCAGGGCAGCCCTATAAGTCATTTGAATTTATAAAACTCCTTATACTGTTCTAGTTTCTTCAGTTTACTGAGGGTTTGGCTTTGGCCCACAGTCCAGCATTTAGAAACAGCTCTGGCAACCTGCAGGGAGCCTCTCAGCTCGTGCACCCCTGCACCTGAAAGAAACTCACCGAACTGTGAGCACCTGTGGGTCTCCATGTGTCCCTCTCTGGAATGAGCCTGCCAAGGGGCAGGCCCTGTGTCCTGTTCCTCGTGTTGTTCTCAGTATGTAGCACACTACCTTATGGGGGGCAGGCCCTGGATCGAGGTGCCTTGAGTGACTGAGTGCATGAATCTCAATGAGCAAAACAGGTCCCAGTGAAAGCTGCAGTTCACACAACTCTCGCCACCACTCAAAGCCCAGCCCCGCCGACACCGATGGAATCAATGCCAGTCCCTGTGCTGGTCTGGAGATTTCCTTTAGGTCCAAGTCCACCTCCAGGCGTAAACGCGAAGTGGACCTTTGGTCCATTTCTGTCACACCAACTCTATGACAGATGTATTAGGAAAGCAGGGGCGTATATCAGTAATTCACTCACCTTCAAAAAGGTGAAAACCTTCTGTTCTTTTTCCCCATTCACATCACCTTTCTCAAAAAGCTGGAAATTTGGTACATATCCTCCCCCTGGACGGACATGCCTGTAAGGAGCCACACAGGGCATGAGAAAGCTGTGCAGGAGCACCGGACTTCACCGCCATGGGAGAGGGAGGGAGAGGCGCACACATAGACAGGGCTGGGCAGGAAGAATGAGGCATTTTTTTACTTTGGCCTCTCCAATTCACTTAATTTTTCTCTATTCTACAACCTGTCCCATGCCCCACATTGTTTCTGCACCAGCCATTTCAGTGCTCGTGCCCCTTCGGTCTCCCTGAACAGGGAGGGGAGAGTCCCTGGTCACAGCCCAGGTCACACTAGGGTAGGTCGGAGTTAAAGTCAGTTTGCAGGTGCTGCTGAGTCTATTAGCCCAGAACCATCCAGTAAGTCCAACAATGGAAGGGCCTCTGAAGACTGAAGAAACGTGGACAGAGGCCTCCCACATGGTTCTGAGAAGGGACTTACTTCAGTCCCAGAAGGATCTCTGAGTTCTCTCCTGGTTCTTGCTTTCCAAATTGGTTGCAGGGGAAGCCCAGTATAACCAGTCCAAATGGCTTCAGCTCTTCCTGAAGTGTGTTCAGATCTGTGGTAGAGAAGGGATAGGATGGCAGCCTGGCTAGAGACTTTGTCTTGTGCAGAGAAAAATTACATTTCACAGGAAGGGAAACAGAGGCCCAAGGAAGGAAAAAATTCTGTAGATTAGAAAGGCTATTAGAGACCAAATCTTTAGACAAGCATTCAAGCCCTTCGTTAAAGTATAGTATTTCCCAAGTGTGCAACACATCGGAATGAACTGTGGGCTCTCCCTTGAAAACAGGGGTGCCTAGGCCCATTCCAGAGAGTTCTCTGATCCCACTCCTTGGAGATAGTTCCCTGTCACCTTAATTACTCAAAAGCGCAGCAGGTCACGGCTGTGGAAAATAGAATGGTGATTCCTCAAAATAATAAAAAATGGAACTAACCGTGATTTAGCAATCCCATTTTTAGGTATATATGCAAGTAATTGAAACAGGGTTTCAAAGAGATATTTGTACACCCATGTCCATAGCAGCAATATTCACAGTACTCAAGAGGTGGAAACAACCCAAATGTCCACTGATGAATGAATGATAAACAAAGGTGGTCTATTCAAATAATGGAATATCACTCAGCCTTAAAAAGGAAGGAAACTCTGCCACATGCTATAATATAGATGAACCCTGAAGATAGTTTGTTAACTAAAACAAACTATAAAAAGATAAACATTCTATGATTCCACTTACATGAGGTATATGCAGTAGTTAAATTTATAGAAACAACATTAGAATAGTGGTTTCTAGGACAGGAGGAGGAAAGGGGAGCTGTTTAATGAGTGTAGAGTTTCAGTTTTGCAAGATGAAATGTTCTGAGGACTTGTTTTACAACAATGTGCATGTTTTAATAATGTTGAACAGTACACTTAAAATGGTTAAGATGCTAAATTTTCTTATGTCTTTCTTTGACACACTTTTTTTAATCCTCACCTGGGAATATGTTTATTGATTTTAGAGAGAGGAAGTGAGGGAAAGAGAAAAAACTTTGATGTGTGAGAGAAATATCACACATTTCTCTCATATATGTTTGGTTTTCTCCCATATGTGCCGATACTGGGATCGAACCCTGATCAGAATTGAACCTGCAACCTCTTGGTGTACAGAACAATGCTCCAACCAATGCTCCACCTTGCCAGGGCTCTTTACCACAATTTTTAAAAAAGCTCACAGGGTAATTCTTTTTTTCTTTTTATATATTATATCTTATTTTATTTTTTAATTAATTAATTAATTTTTGTTACACATGTTTCTCCTACCCCCCCACTGATTCCCCCTTCTCCTCCCTCCCCGCCCTGTCCCCAGCTTTGTTGTCCATGACCATTCTTCATGCACACATGCATGTAAGTTCTGTGGTTTATCTCTCCCCCACCACCCCCTCTTCTGGGGATTGTCAGTCTTTACCCCCCTTCCACGTCTCTGGGACTACCTCATTTCTCAGACTGTTATGTTTATTATATTCCACAAAAAAGTGAGATCATATGGATACTTGTCTTTCTCTCTTTGGCTTGTTTCACTTAGGATAATACTTTCCAGGTCCCTCCTGTCATCTCAAAGGATAAGAGATCTTTCTTTCTTACAGCTGCATAGCATTCCATTGTGTGTATGTACCACATCTTTTTTATCCATTCGTCTACTGATGGACATTTGGGCTGTTTCCAGATCTGAGCTATTGTAAATAGTGCTGCTACAAACATGCAGGTACATATCTTTCTGATTGGTGTTTCAGGCTCCTTAGGGTATATTCCTAGAAGTGAGATCACTGGGTCAAATGGAAGTTCAGTTTTTAATTTTTTGAGGTAACGCCATATTGTTTTCCATAGTGGCTACACCAGTCTGCATTCCCACCAGCAGTGTATTAGAGTCCCCTTTTCTCCACACCCTCGCCAACACATGTTGTTTGATGATTTGTTGATGGCAGCCATTCTGACAGGTGTAAGGTGATACCTCGTTGTTTTAATATGCATCTCTCTGATGATTAGTGATGTTGAGCATTTCGTCATATGTCTCTTAGCCATTTGTATGTCCTATTTGAAGAGAAGTCTATTTAGTTCCTCTGCCCATTTTTTATTTAATTTTTTAAAATTAATTAATTTATTATTGTTACAGATGATTCTCATTTTCCACCCACTGATTCCCCCCTCACCCTCCCTCCCCACCCTGTCCCCAGCTTTGTTGTCCATGTCCATTGTTCATGCACACATGCATATAAGTTCTGTGGTTTATCTCCACCCCCCACCCCCTCTTCTGGGGATTGTCAGTCTGTACCTCACTTCCACGTCTCTGGGACTACCCCATTCCTCAGACTGTTATGTTCATTATATTCCACAAATAAGTGAGATCATATGATACTTGTCTTTCTCTGTTTGTCTTGTTTTGCTTAGGATAATACTTCCCAGGTCCTTATGTAGTCTCAAAGGATAAGAGTTCTTTCTTTCTTACAGCTGCATAGTACTCCATTGTGTATATGTACCCCTGCTTTTTTATCCATTCGTCTACTAATGGACATTTCAGCTGTGTCCAGATCTTAGCTATTATAAATAGTGCTGCTATGAACATGGGGGTACATATATTCTTTCTTAGTGGTGTTCCAGGCTTCTTAGGGTATATTCCTAGGAGTAGGATGACTGGGTCAAATCCTCCGCCCATTTTTCAATTGGGTTCTTTGTCTTCCTTTTGTTGAGTTGCATGAGTACTCTGTATATATTATAAATTAACCCCTTTTCTGATATATCATTGGCAATTAGGCTCTCCCATAGACTGGGTTGCCTTTCCATTTTGGTGGTTGTTTCTTTTGCTGCGCAGAAGTTTTGAGTTTGATGTAGTCCCATGAGTTCATTTTCTACTTTGTTTCTGTTGCCTTAGGTGATGTATCAGTGAAAATTCTGCTGCATATGATGTCTGAAATTTTGTTGCCTACATTCTCTTCTAGAATTTTTCTGGATTCATGAGTTACGTTTAAGTCTTTTATCCATTTTGAGTTTATTCTTGTGTATGGTGTAAGTGGATGGTCTAGTTTTATTTTTTTTGCATGTAGCTGTCCAATTTTCCCAACACCATTTATTAAAGAGGCTGTCTTCACTCCAGTGTATGCTCCTGCTCCCTTTGTCAAATATTAATTGAGCATACTGCCTTGGGTCCATTTATGGGTTCTCTGTTCTGTTACACTGGTCTATATGTCTGTTCTTGTGTCAGTACCATGCTCTTTTGATTACAGTGGCTTTGTAGTATAACCTGAAATCTGGTTATGTGATCCCTCCAACTTTGTTCATGTTTTTCAAGATTGCTGTGGCTATTCGAGGTCTCTTTTGGTTCCATACGAACTTTCTAAGTATTTTTTCTAGTTCTGTGAAGTATGTCGTTGGTATTTTGATGGGGATTGCCTTGAATCCATAGATTGCTTTGGGTAGTATGGACATTTTAATGATGTTAATTCTTCCAATCTATGAACAAGGTATGTGCTTCCACTTTTTTATATCTTCCTCTATTTCTTTTTTCAATGACCTGTAGTTTTCTGTGAATAGGTCCTTTATTTCTTTGGTTAAGTTTATTTCTAGGTATCTTAACTTTTTGCCACGATGATAAATGGGATTGTTTTTATAGTTTCTCTATTTGTGAGTTCATCATTGGTGTATAAGAATGTCATCAATTTCTTGATGCTATTTTGTATCCTGCTACTTTGCCAAATTCATTTATTAAGTCTAGTAAATTTTTGATGGGGTTTTTGGGGTTTTCTACGTATAGTATCATGGCATCTGCGAGTTATGACAGTTTCACTTCCTCCTTTCCAATTTGGATCCCTTTTATTTTTTCTTCCTGTTTGATTGCTGTGGCTAGGACTCTAGTGCGATGTTAAATAAGAGTGGTGAAAGTGAGCATCCTTGCCTTGTTCCTGTTCTTAAGGGAAATGCTTTTATTTTTTGTCATGGAGCATAATGTTGGCTGTAGGTCTTTCATATATGGTCTTCATTATGTTGAGATATGATCTCTTTGTTTCCACATTGCTGAGCATTTATCAGAAATACGTGCTGGATTTTGTCGAATGCTTTTTTAGCATTTATTGATATGATCACATGATTTTTATCTTTCATTTTATGTGGTGCATCACCTTTTTTGATTTTCTAATGTTGTACAAGCCTTGCATCCTTTGGATGAATCCCTGTTGGTCATGGTGAATAATTTTTTTGATGTATTGCTGGATTTGATTTGCTAGTATTTTGTTCAGGATTTTGGCATCTATGTTAATCAGGGATATTGGCCTGTAGTTTTCTTTCTTTGTAGTGTTTTTTTCTGGTCTTGGAATTAGAATTAAGCTGGCCTCCTAAAATGAGTTTGGAAGTCTTCCTTCTTGAATTTTTTGAAATAGTTTGAGGAGAATTGGTATTAGTTCTTCTTTCAATGTTTGGTAAAATTACCCTGTGAAGCTATCTGGGTTGGGCTTTTTTTTGCTGGGAGATTCTTGATTACATCTTTAATTTCTTTTGTTGTTATTGGTCTGTTCAAGTGTTATATCTCTTCTGGGTCAAGTTTCGGGGGACTATGTGTTTCCAGGAATTTGTCCATTTTGGTTAGATTGTCGAATTTGTTGCCATATAATTGTTCATAATATTTGTTAACAATCCTTTGTATTTCTGTGGTGTCAGTTATTATTTCTTTTCTTTCATTTCTGATTTTGCGTATTTGAGTTCTCTCTCTTTGTTTCTTGGTGAGTCTAGCTAAGGGTCCATCAATCTTGTTTATCTTTTTGAAAAACCAGCTCTTTGTTTCATTGATCCTTTGAATTGTTTTTTTTGTTTTTTGTTTTTGGTTTTGGTTTCCATGTCATTTATTTCTGCTCTAATCTTTACTATTTTCTTCCTTTTAATTGCTCTGTTTTTTGATTTTTTGTTTTTAAATTTGCTTTCTAGTTCTTTAAGTTGTGAGGTTAGATAGTCTATTAGAGATTTTTTTCTTGTTTCTTGAGGTAGGCCTGTAGTGCTATGAACTTCTCTCTCAGAACTGCTTTCGCTGCATCCCATACGGTTTGTGTTGTTGTGTGTTCATTTTCATTAGTTTCCAGCAAGTTTCTAATTTCTTCCTTGATCTCCAGTGTAACCCATTCATTGTTCAGTAACATGCTATTTGGCTTCCACGTTTTTAAATGTCTTTGCATGTTCTCATTGCAGTAGATTTCTAGTTGCATGCCATTGTGATCTGAGAAGATGCTTGATATGATTTCAATCTTCTTGAACCTGTAGAGACTTCGTTTGTGCCCTAACATGTGGTCTATATTTAAGAAAGTTCCATGTGCACTTGAAAAGAATGTGAATTCTGAAGTTTTCGGTTGTAATCCTCTGTAGATATCTATGGAATTCATTTGATCTAGTGCTTCATTTAGAGTCTGTGTTTCCTTGTTAATTATTTGTGTAGAAGATTTATCCGGTGATGTCAGTGGGGTTTTGAAGTCCCCTGTTATGATTGTATTGCTGGCAATTTCTCCTTTGAAGTCCTCCAAAAGATTTTTAATATATGTTGGTGCTTTCATATTGGGTGCATATATGTTTACCAAGGTTGGCTAGATCCTTTCAATATTATGTAGTGGCCTTCTTTGTCTCTAGTCATGGTCTTCATTTTGAAATCTACTTGAACAGATATGAGTATTGCTACCTCAGCTTTTTTTTGCTTTCCGCTTGCTTGAAAGATTTTGTTCCATCCCTTCACTTTCAACCAATGTGAGTCTTTTGTTGTGAGGTGGTCTCTTGTAAACAACATATATGTGAGTCCTGCTTTCTTATCCAGTCAGCTACTCTGTGTCTTTTTATTGAAGCATTCAAACCATTCACATTTAAGGTGATAATTGATATGTACTTATTTATTGCCATTTTTGTTTAGTGTGGTTCTACTTTTCTTTCTTTTTCTTCTAATAATTACAGCAGTCCTTTTAACATTTCTTACAGTGCTAGTTCGGTGCAAATGTATATTCTTAGCCTTTTTTTTTTTTTTTTGGTCTGAAAAGCTCTTTATTTGACCTTCTATTTTGAATGATAGCCTTGCTGGATAGAGTAGTCTTGGATTCAGATCCTTGTTTCTCATGACCTTGATTACTTCATTCCACTGCCTTCTGGCCTGTAGTGTCTCTGTTGAGAAGTCAGCTGAGAGCCTAATGGGGTTTCCTTTGTAGGTAACCTGTTGCTTATCTCTTGCTGCCTTTAGCGTTCTCTCTTTGTCTTTCATTTTTGGCCTTTTAATTACTGTGTGTTTTGGTGTCATCCTGTTTGGGTTCTTCTTACTTGGGGCTCTCTGTGCTTTTTAAAGTTGAATGCCTTCTTTCCTCACCAGGTTAGGAAAGTTTTCGGTCACTATTTCTTCAAATATATTCTCTAACCCTTGCCCATTTTCTTCCTCTTCGGGTACACCTATGATGCAAATGTTATTACATTTCCAGTTGTCCCACAGTTTTCTTAAGCTGTCTTTCTGTTTTTTTAATTGTTTCTTCCTTTTGGTTTTCTGATTGGTTGATTGTCTCTAACCTGTCTTCTAATTCACTAATCTGGTCCTCAGCTTCCTTTACTGTCTGGTTAGTCCTTCCAACGTGTTCTTAACTTCCCTGTGTCATTTTTTATTTCCACTTGGTTGGTTTTCAGTGTTTCTGTATCTTTCCTCATGGTGGTGATATCCTTACTCATGCTGTTGGGCTTCCTCAAAATCATGGCTCTGAACTCTACTTCTGATAATTTGCTTAGCTGCATTTTATTGATCTCATCTTCAATAGAGTTCTCTTGTTCTTTCATCTGGGATTTGTTTCTTTGTTTCACCATGTTGGCAATCTCTGTGGGTTTTGGAGCCTGCCCAATTTTCCCTGTGGGTGTTGGTGTTTTGCTATTTGTGGCTTCCTCTACTGGGTTTGGATGAGCCTGGGTGAACTCACGTTGAACACCCCTTTCAAGTCTTACTTTCCTGGGTAGATTTGCAAGCCAAGGAAAGGTTCAGTTATCCTCTAGCTCTTTCCTGGTGGCTAGTAGTCTCAGTTACTTAGTGCCTTGGAATGTAGCCCTGGTGTTTAGCATAAGAGGATTTTCAGAGTGTGGGATAGATGCTTGTTGTTTATGAGCCTCAATTTGCATTTTTTTTTGCCTCAACTGGGATAGGCTGAATCTCCTAGAGGGGAAGAGCTGCTGCTTTTCTATAAAGCTCTGGGAAGGAGCACACTGGCCACCATCCTTTGTGGCCACAATTCAGAAAAAACTCTGAGTGCCCTCCAAATCCCGGGTTAGCGCTCTGTCAGGGCTCTCTGTGCTGTGGATCAGGCTTGGTCTTTATTCCCCAAGGGCGTTGCTCACAGCTAAGACTGCTGCTGTCCATGGGCTCCCAGCTTGCCACCCTCTCATGCCTCAACTCCTACCAGTGTCTCACAGGGTAATTTTTAAGCAAAGCCAGGTTTAAATACCACTGTTCACCAGTTTGTCTTCTTTGGTTGGTTAATTAGTAGATTAAATTTTTTTTTGAAGGAAAAAGACACGGACAATGACACTGGGCTTTTCTCCAGTGGTGGGCTGGCCCACCCTGGGTTGGATGTAAGCAACCTGATGGGCAAAGAGAACCAAAGGAATTCCCACTGAGCTTCCTCATGTTCTTCAACAGTCTGGGGATGTTAAACATGCACTCTACCTGAAATTCTCATTGATGTGCAAAATTACAAGATTCTAACTGCCTTCTCCCACTGCCAGGCAATTTGCCAACTTGTCCGCTCAGACTTTTATAATCATCTTCTTTGTTAACCATTTCTGGGCTGGATGCCTTCAGTCCCCTGGCAAACACTAGCCAGACCCACTGAGATTCAGGTCAACCAACTGATATCTCCTCTTTGTGTTTCTGTTTGTTTGTTTTACTAGAGATTGCTTTCCTGTTTCCACATGGCTCCTCAGTACCCTTCCCCACATCCTTCCCTCTGTCTTTAGTCACTATAGATAATTGCATATTCCAGAAAAATAAATCAGGAAACCTGTCTTCCTGTCCTTGAGCAAGTACTCCTCAGTTTCCTCATGTGTTATGTACAGAGTGCAAACTGAATAAGTTGGTTCTTACAGTTCTTTTAAACTGGTAAGATGAATTATGGTTTAATAGAATATTATTCAGTGTTTTATAAAAATCAGGAAATGGCCTGAACGCTAAAGCACCTCATTAATTTTAAAAAGCAACATGGCAAGTAGTGTTCATGTTATATCACAGCTGGAGGAGAAGCAGAAAAAGAATAATCTATATACAGGGTGGAGAAAAAGTAGGTTTAAAGTTGAGAGCATGCAAAAAATAGAGTTTATTCTTACATTATTATTTACTAATCATTGTATTATTTTCCATACGAACAACTGTAAACATACTTTTGCCCCACCCTGTATTTTGTAAACATAATATTGTTTGTTTGGAGGGAAGGGAAGGAGGTGAAGCAACTTTTTACCCTAAACACTTTCATTCCTGTTGAATTGTGAACCCTTTGAATATATTAGTCATTCAAAACATAATTGAAAACAAAAAATTAAGTTCTTATTAGTTCAAATAAAAGAAATGCATCTGTTTCTGATATAATTCACCCTTTTCACTATTTATTGGCTTTTAAACCGCATGACCTAACATCTGAGAGCTATGAAATGCCTCCTGCACCATGCACAGCACGAGAAAACTGTGTCTAAGGGAGGTGTCCAGGTTGGAGAGGGAGCACCTGCCTCCATTATTGCCTCCTCCTTGACCACCCCTCACTCCAGTCAAACACAGTTAAGGTTTAAAATACCTTTCCCTTTTAACATGTCTTTTAAGTTACCTGTAAAATCCTGAAAAAGTCTCAAAAATATTTGTTCTCTCTCCTGTATTTACCAAGGAGATTTGAATCTTCAGAGAGGCTGCTAGTTCTCACATGTATATTAATTGTCCTGAAAATTTCAGGAGCAAAGCTTAGGCAAGATATAGAGAAGGAATCAGCAAACTTTCTTTGTAAAAGTCAGATAGCATATATTTCAGAATTTACAAGTCAGGTGGCCTCTGTCACCACTACTCATATAACCGCTCAGCTCTGCTTTGTTGAGCATAAAATCAGCTGCAGACAATATGTAAATAAATGGGCATGGCTGTGTTCCAATAAATCTTTGTTTATACAAGCAGGCTGGCCAGATTTTGCCTGTGGGCCATAGTTTGCTGACTCCTGACATTGGGGAATGAAGTAACTTGATCATAAGTATTTATCTTGATTCATAATTAGAATTAAAACATAGTTATATTAAAACATACTTATGATTTAGAATATAGTGAACTGGAAAATTTAGCCCCAAGTGGATTTGATATAAATTCTTACCAGTGTATTGGACTGTTAGACCACAGTAGGTGGCCACGTTGACCAAGAGGACATGCTTGCCCTCGTACTGCCTGAACGGGACGCGCTCCTTCCCACTGAGCGCGAGGGCGTCGTACTCATAGATGGTGCCTTTCACGTCTTTGTAGCAATCCATCTGGAAGATTTAAAAATGACAACATTAATAACAGTAACTCCTAACATCTGCACAACCTTCCATGCATTCACTGAAGAATCCATGGACTCGCTGTAGCCTGGGACACAAGCAAGTATGATGTAATAACAAGACTGGGAGTTCTCGTGATTTGAAAGCCAAAGGTTGTTGTTTTTGTGTTTTTTTTTTTTTTTTTTTTTTTTTTTTTTTTTTTTGTGGGAGGGAGAAAGAGGAACAGAGAGAGAAAGAGAAACATCGATGTGAAAGGGACACATCAAGTGGCTGCCACCCGGGGACAAACCGCAACTGAGGCACATGCCCCCAGCAGGAACCGAACCTGGGTCTTTCCGGACCGCAGGCCGACGCCCCAGCCGCTGAGTCAAACCGGCCAGGGCAAAAGCCAAAGGTTTTTTTTGAGCAACAAACATGTTTCTCTCCCTATTATCCTGGAAGAAGCTAGATACCAAGAAACGCTTGGATGAGTGCAAAGGAGCAGAGGTCCGTGAGCAGGACGAGGGCCCTGCAGCTGAGTGGGTGGAAGAGAAAAGCACACTGGCTGTCATGCTTCTGTGACAATAAGGTTGCTCCTTGGCTGTAGACTGAAGATATCCTGCCTGGAGTCTTTCAGTGTAGGAAAGAATACTTAAATACTTAATTGCTTAAGTATTTCACAACAGCCTAGGTACTTGTTTCACTTTCCCTAGCCTTCTGACTTCTCACTGCGCCCGTTAGCGGGGGAGTGCAGAGAGCTCTCTCTCTGGTTGGTGGAATCAGAAGCCAGCTCTATTGTTAAATTCCTTTGTGAACCTGGGACGTTCTCATTCTTGACTCTGTTTCCCGGTGGTAAAATGAAGAGATTCATCTAGATTACTATTGCATCCTCAGGGGCCTTCTGTGTTTAACATTCTAGAATCTAATATTATCTCTACCTTGGGTAAGTTTCTCTTTCATGTCACTCTCTTATTTATATGATCATCTTACAAGCCAATACCATAAAAACTCCAACTTTCTGTAGCTCCCTAGAAGGGAGATGAAGAGCTCAAAAATCCGCCTGCAAGTGGTTCACTAATATCTGTCTAGCGTTATCCGTCTTCACACACACTCAGCTCCCCCCACTGTGCTCTAGGTGTCCAATGCCTGCCTTCACTACCAGCTCCATCTGCCCTATTTCTTCCCAAATCTCCTGAGCATATTTGATCAGAGTTCTACATAATAGAAATAAGTTCTATATGAAATTCTCACTGTCTGTTCTTAGGATAAATTCCTCTACAAGGCATATCGTCATATTTCTCCTGTCTCTATCTATGTGGGGTCCATGCAGTACCCAAGGGGTACTGAGGGACGTTGGAGCAAACTGCTCATGGGATATAGGGAGTATAACATAGGAAGTATGAGAAGGAAGTTTCCAAGCCATGTAATGAGAAAAAGGCAGAGGGGAACTGAACAAAGAGCAGAGAGAAAGACATATCTGACAAAGAGGTCCCAACTTAAATTAGGAATAAACTTGACTTCCTGAAAATGCAGTGGACCAGTAAGGATTTTAGAGAAACACCTTCTTCCTCCCACCTAAAGGAGTGCTGCAACACAAAACAAACCTGTCTTGCCCAACTTTGCAAGCCCACTGCTTCTGCTGTTAGCACCCCATGCTGCAGCTGGTGGGGAGCGAGCTGTCTCCTATGCAGGCTCCTGCACTTTTCCCTAAATGCACGCGCACATACACATACATGCAGAACTGAGACATGCATAAAGACAATATTATATGAAAACATCCATTTCTATTTTCATGATGTGTGGTTCCAAGCTAAACATTTTAAATAATTGGCATTTCCCCCCCATTTGCTACTGCAATGAAAATTACTAAAAAGCATGTTGGCTACTAGAATGTGGGGTCTTAGAGAAACTCTAGACTTGAAGATGCCTTTTAATTCAGCTTACTCCTGATATTCATGGTTGTTACAAATTTATTTAAGTTTGTATGATATGTCTCAAATATCTCCAGAATCAGCTTTGATTAAGCAAATTCTACAGCTCAAGGTTTCCACACCCAATTAGGCGGAACTGGGTAACACAAAAAATGTATCAATTTCTGCCCTGGCCGGTTTGGCTCAGTGGTTGGAGAATCAGCCTGCGAACCAGAGAGTCCTGGGTTCGGTTCCTGCTAGGGGCATGTACCAAAAAAGAAAAAAAAAAGATCAATTTTCAAAAACAGAAAGTCACCCAGGAAGTTCTCTAGTCAATTTCAGAGAGAGGGAGAGATCTTAGTAAAGCTGACATTTATAGAACACATTATATGAATAACAATTTTTGCTCACCCTCCCATAAGGAAGATACTGTTGCCCACAATTTTATAATGAAGAAGCAGAGGTTAAAAGAAATGAAGTGACTTGTCCAAGGCCAAGAGTGGTAACCCACCATGTGAATGAGAATTCACTTGCCCCTAACTTCATGATTCCCTTTCGGTTGAAGACATCTAATGCACATCTAATTCACTGCTATCCTTCCCTCAACCACCCCTACCACTGCTATATATTTTAAAGATTACAACTCACTGAAAGTTCAGATGGTGCTTAGCATTTTTAGGCAATATAGCATTTATTATTATTATTTTTAATCCTCAACCGAGGATATGCTTATTGTTTTTAGAGAAAGGGGAAGGGAGAGAGAGACATCTATGTGAGAGAGAACATCAGATGGTTGCTCTCCATACACGCCCAACCAGAGATGAAACCTGCAACCCAAGGATGTGCCTGACCGGGATTTGGACCCCCAGCCTTCCAGTCCAAACCACTGAGGCACACCAGCCAGGTCTGCCATGCACACGTCTACTTAGCAAGGCAACTGAGTTATGAACTGAAAACCAAATTGAGGCTAGAACCCAAGGCTCCTGATGATAAATCTGGTTGTTTTGGGCCTCCTATTTTTCTTTCTATGTGTTTCATGTTTCTCTGATGAGTCTGACTTTATACATCCTTAAAAACATCTACATTATTTTTTCCTTTGCTTTGTGGTTTTCCTACACAGCCTCTCCTCCAAACCCTTGTCCCACCCACTCTGATGTCCACTGCTCTCCTATGCCTCAGGCCCAGCTCCAAGGCAGATACTGATATGGCTGGAGGAGTATCCAGGTGATCTCTGCCTAGAGAAGGAAAGGAGAAGGGACCACATTAAGGAGACTCTTTTTTTCCTACTCACATTTAATTCAAGGATCACCCATGTATAGATTTGAAGAGATTCAAAGAGAAGAGAAGAAAGGTTTAGGGGAAACCACAAAGAAGAAGAAAGCAGAGGTTGGAGTCTCACAGGAAGGACTGAAGAGTGGGATCTTGGAGAGCAGGACCAGAGTAACTTCCCATGAGAACTCTGCCGCTTTCTTCGGAAATCACTCACCTTCATCTTCTCCACCTTGGGATTTGTCTGCACAAAGCCAGCTAGGAGGAGGGGGAAAAGGTAGGAGGCCCTGAACTGTGCAGTCATTACAGCACTGGTCTGAGAGTCTGGCACCTTGGCAGCCTTTTGATACCCTGGCGGGAGCAGCCCAAGCCTTCACAGCCAGTAGCAGGACGGCAGGTGTTTCTGGGTGTGAGTGGGGCACACGGATGTAGAACTTAAACCACATCCTTACCTACTCACACCCCCATGAGCACTCAGTGTTCAGCAGTGAGATGCGGACCTGGGACTCATAAGTTCTGGCAGAATTATGAAAATGGGATGGCAAGTACTCCATGGCCCTTGAAGGCTATTATCTCCTTTCACTGAGTGAATAGGAGTTTCTAGATGCAGACACAGACTCCCAGACTGCACGAAAGTTGCTGTAAAAGGGACACCATAAACATTCCAAGCACTGTTTCTATTTCTAATATTTGAGCCAAAAAAGTCAAAGGATGGACCACATAAGATCTCTCTAAAAGAGCTAGAAAGAAATTGGCCCTGAGCAGGGGAAACACATATTTACAATATGTGGGAAGGAAGTCCATTACTATGTTAATTATACAAATGTTTTCAAGTGCTTGTAAATCAGTAAGAAAACCAATCAACCTGCCAGAAGGAATTCACCAGACAGTAAAACAAATGGCATCTGTGGAAGGATTCAATGTTCTCTTCTCACCAATAATCAAAGAGGTATAAATGAGAAAAAATGTGTTCTGCATTTATCAGCTTGGCCAAGGTTGAAAGGAATGTGGTCCTCAGCCTGGGTGTCAGTCCCTTATAAAAGGCTCTCACAGACCAGGGGGGGCGTGGGGCTATCAACACCTGCTAACTTTCTTGAGGAGAGTCTGCTGGTCTGAACGCAGTGCTGTTTAAAAAACCCTCTTAATCTCTTAAAAGAATAAACAGTGCTTGGCTTCTCAACCAGCAACTATTTTCACAACCACCCATTCAGCAGCAGTTTCCAACGACTGTTCAATAGTCTCAGGTAAAATTCTGGAAGAATGCTTTTTTATTTTTATTTTATTTTATTTTTATCCTCACCCGAGGACATTTTCTCATTTTTTGTTCAGGTAGAGTGGGAGGGAGAGAGAGGAACAGAGAGAGAGATAGAGAAACATCGATGTGAAAGGGACACACCGAGTGGCTGCCACCCGCACAACCGACCAGGGCCGGGGACAAACTGCAACCGAGGTACATGCCCTTAGCGGGAACCGAACCCGGGTCTCTCCGGACCGCAGGCCGACGCTCTAACCGCTGAGCCAAACCGGCCAGGGCTGGAAGAATGCTTTGATGTGCAGCCCTGCAGCCCTAGGAATTGCTGGGTTTCTCACATAACATAAGAACATATTTAATCCTCGTCAGTCTCCTGGGAGGCTTACCAAGACCTTCCTCTTTCTTGTCTTCAGTACAGTTTTACTTTTTGGACCTCAAGTGCTAAGTTTGAGTTAATCATATGCCTAAATTCAAGATCATGGTTCCTTGTGAGCCCCCTCTGTTGCTTTATTTATGACTCTTCCCTTTGATTACCAAACTCAATTTTCTTTCTTGTATCCCAGAGGCAAACTATGTTTATTATTCATGTTGTTTGCATTCTTGAAAAACGTATACAGTCCTCATCAGAGCTATAGAAAAAAAAAACCTAATAATTAGCTCTATTTCTGTTCTCTTTTTAAAGTATTTTGTGTTTTTTAATTAGAGTTGACCTACAATATTATACTAGTTTCATTATATTATATTAGACATTTATATAACTGACAAAGTGAATACATCAATACATTTAGTGCTCACCTGGCACCACACAGTTATTACACTACTACTGACCATATTCCCAATGGTGCAATGCATCCTTGTGACTATTTTGTAACTGCCAACTTTTGTTTCTTTAACCCCTTTACCTTTTTCACTCATCCCCCTAACACCCTTCCATCTGACAACCATGAACATGTTCTTTATAAATTCATGTGTCTATAAATTTGTTTCTATTTTGTTTTTTAGATTCAACATCTAAGTGAAATAATAGTATTTTTCTTTCTCTGTCTGACTTATTTCACTTAACATAATACTTTCTAGGTCCACCCATATGTTGCAAATGGCAAGATTTTACTCATTTTATGGTTGAGTCATGTTAAATTGTGTGTGTGTGTGTATGTGTGTGTGTGTGTGTATATATATATATATATATATATATATATATATATATATATTTTTTTTTTTTTATATGGCACCTCCTCTTTATTCATTTGTCTATTGATGGACACTTAGGTTGCTTTCATTTCTTGGCTGTTGTAAATAATGCTTCGATGAACATAGGGATGCATGTCTTTTTAAATTAGTCTTTTGGGTTTCTTTGGATAAACAACCAGAAGTAGAATTGTTGGGTCCTTCTTTGTCTCTTGTTTTCAAGTCTATTTTGTCTGGTATAAGTATTGCTACCTTAGCTTTTTTGTTGTTGTTGTTTCTATTTTCAAGAAATGTCTTTTTCCATCCCTTTACTTTCAGCCTGTGTGTTTCTTTTGTTCTGAGATGGGTGGGTCTCTTGAAGGCAGCATATGTATGGGTCTTATGTTTTAAATAGATTTTTAGAGAGAGAGAGCAAAAGAGAGAGAAAGAGAAACATTGATTTATTGTTATACTTATTTATGCATCCATTGGTTGCTTCGTTTTTTTCCCATTCTTTGTTCAGATAGAGCAGGAGGAAGAGAGAGAGAGAAACATCAACGTGAAAGGGACACATCGAGTGGTTGCCACCCGCACGACCCAACCAGGGCGAGGAGCAAACTGCAACCAAGCTACATGCCCTTAGCGGGAACTGAACCCTAGTCTCTCTGGACCACAGGCCAACGCTCTACCACTGAGCCAAACCAGCCAGGGCCTGAGTTTTGTTTTCTTATCCATTCAGCCACCTTATGTTTTTTGACTGGAGCATTTAATTCATTTATGTTTAAAGTAATCATTGAGCCCTGGAAGGTTTGGCTCAGCAGTTAGAGTATTGGCCTGCGAAACAGTATTGGGTTCGATTTCAGCCAAGGGCACATACCTAGGTTGCTGTTTGTCCCTGGTCCTGGTTGGGGTCATGTGGGTGGCAGCCAATCGATGTGTCTCTCTCACATCAATGTTTCTCTCTCTCTCTCTCTCTCTCTCTCTCTCTCTCCCCCACTCTGTCTGAAGATAAACTTAAAAATATCCTCAGGTGAAGATTAAAAATGAATAAATAAAAAATAAAGTAATCATTGATATATATGTAGTTATTGCCATTTAATTGTTCATATTTAAAAATTTTTTCCTTCTTCTTAAAGAAGTCCCTTTAACATTTCTTATAATACTGGTTTGTTTGGTGGTGATAAATTCCTTTGGCTTTTTCTTGTCTGGGAAGCTATTCATCTCCTTCAATTTTAAATAAGTCTTGCTGGGAAGAGTAATCTTGGTTGTAAGCCCTTGCTTTTCGTCACTTTGAATATTTTGTTCTGTGTTCTTCTGGCCTGAATAGTTTCTGTTGAGAAACCAGCTGATAGTTTTATGGGAGCTCCCTTGTAGGTAACTAACTGTTTTTCTCTTGCTGCCTTTAAGATTCTCTCTTTGTGTATAACTTTTGCCATTTCAATTATGATGTGTTTTGGTGTGATCCTCTTTGAGTTTATCTTGTTTGGGACTCTCTGTGCTTCCTGGACTTGTATGTCTAGTTCCATTGCCAGGTTAGAAAAATTATCCATCATTATTTCTTCAAATAGATTTTTGATTTCTTGCTTTCTCTCTTCTCCTTCTGGTATCCCCATGATGCAAATGTTGGCATGCTTGAAAGTGTCCCAGAGGCCCCTTAAACTCTCCTCATTTTAAAAGTATTTTTCATGTTTGCTGCTCTGATTGGGTGTTTTCTGCTACCTATCTTCCAAATTACTGATTTGATTGTCTGCTTTATTTAATCTACTGTTGATTCTCTGTAATAGATTCTTCATTTCAGTTATTGTAGTCTTCATTTCTGATTAGTTCTTTTATATGAATTCTATTTTCATTTATATGTTTTCTATCTCTTTGTTAAAGTCCTCACTGAAAGTTCTTCTCTTCCCCTAAGTTTGAGCATCCTTATAACCAGTGTTTTAAACTCTGCATCTAGTAGGTTGTCTTTCTCTATTTTGTTTAGTTCTTTTTCTGACTTTGTTCTGTTCTTTCTATTGGAACATGCTTATTTGTCTCCTCCTTTTGGATGACCCCCTATGCTTGTTTCTGTGTATTATGTAGAGCTGTTATATCTCCCAGGCTTGGTAGAGTGGGCTTATGTCATAGGTGTCCTATGGGGCCCAATGGCAAAGTCTCCCTGACACCTGAGCTGGGTGTGTCCCTTGTGCAGGTAGTATGTGACCTTCTGTTGTAGTTGATCTTTGATTGTTGTTTACGTGTCGGGGGGAAGAACTGCCCCCAGGCTGCCTAGTTGTGAGGACTGTTTGTGACTGCAGTGGAGTAGCTGTTGTGCAGTGCAACTGCATGGAGCAGGGTTCACTTTAGTGGGACTCTTGTGTCTGCAGAATCTTCCCTTTGAGTGTGTCATTTGTGGAGGTAATTGGGTGGTTTTCGTGTGGTCTGAGGCCAACCACCAGGTTTATTGGTTCTGGGGCTTCTTGAGGGGATGGGGAAGGCAAGCTCTGGTACAGGCCAAGGTCAGCCACTGCCTCAGGAGCTATAAAGTGATCTTCAGATGGCTGTCATTTGTGCTGGGCTTGAAGGCACCTGAGAGAGGCCAAACTGTGAACTGTGCTTGGGCCACTTAGCATGAGGCACAGGGTACACTGATGCCAATCACTGCTTGTTTGGGGTTTATGAAACTTTGAGAGATTTTAGGAAAGTTTGCAGCAAGAGCAGAGACTGGTCACCTGTATGGAAAAGCTGCTGGAAGTGGCTTGTGTGGGCTAGAAAGTTGAGTGGAACAGGGTCTCAGGGCATGGTGAACAGTGTGAGACAGGTTGATGGAGACTCAGATAAAGCATCTGCATGCTGGCTCTGTGGAGGAAAGAGGTCTCAGCACAGAAACACTGGCCTCTGCAAGCACTTTT